AAAAAAAAAAAAAAAAAAAAAAAAAAAAAAAAAAAAAAAAAAAAAAAAAAAAAAAAAAAAAAAAAAAAAAAAAAAAAAAAAAAAAAAAAAAAATATATATATATATATATATATACTGATCGAATTGAGTAACCTCCTCCTTTTTCGAAGTCGGTTAAAAAGAAGGAATCGCGAACGCTGCAGCGACACGCACATAAAAAAAAACAATAGAACAACGCGATATAAATATGTATAATGAACCACGCGGTGATTGCCGCGTATTTTGAACGAACATACTAACAAAAATTGTTAATTACAATATACGCCACAGATCCGTACAATGCATTTTTTTAATTTTTCAAGCTCACTATAAAGACATTTTTCTTTATGCCTTCGTTATGCCCGTAGAATAATCTGCAAGTCATTATTGACAAAGAAACGCAATTTTTTGTTTGAACAGTTTTATATTTGAGAGCTAGATTGCACTAGTAAGACTGTTTTTGAGGCACCCCTATAATCCAGGACGACCGCCAGGAGCACCGGAATCAGTGGCAGCAAGGCGGCGATTTTTCCTATTCTCTTGTTATCACTTCTTCTTTATCTTTTTGTACGAATACCACGCCGTGTGGTAATGTAATAATATTTCTCTTCTATTGCGTTCAAACTTCGTATTTTCATTAATTCCGTTTAAATGAACTTCATAATTACATGGCACAACGTGTCGAGTTCATCTCGTACTCGCGAAGATAAGTAAATCGAATCCCTGGTTTCAAACTAGCCGAATAAGGTTGTCAAAAATGCCCTTGAGCCAAATGAAATACCTAATACGTCTGTCGATAGCATATGAAAAAAAAAACATGTCACATCAACTGATGTATCATTCATGAATGCAAATCTATTTAGGATCACTTAATAAATACATATACTGAAAAAGAAGGCATGCAAATTCGAAGTGGAAAGTACTTTTTTAAAGGAATGCATCGGATTTTGATTTTTTTAGCTATAGCAATAAAATATAGCTATAATTTGAGAATTTACGGAATAATAGTTATGTCAATATGTAACTACCCCATTACAGAGGATATTCTATATAAGCAAATCTTTCGGGTCTGAGGTTTTGCGTATATCGTACAGGTCCTACATTGATTGATGTCTTGCCGAACGTAGAAAAGGACAGAAGAGAAAAATATCACGGTCACCGTTTGCGTATATGTATCGTAAAGGTGCTACATTTCGAGCGAAGGAGACTGAACGTAAACAAACAGTGACCTACTAGAAGGACACTCCTAATGCAAGAATAAAACTTTTATTTTTGATTTTTCTTTTTGTTTAAATTTTTTCCATCATATTTGTAACATTTTTCTCATTAAAATGAAACCAAACACGACATACTTCGGGACATATTTACTTGTGATTTCAAGTGTTACGCGTACATCAATGACTTTACTCTAATAAGATATTGCAAGTAAATATAACTCAAATTACGTCGTGTTTGGTCTCATTTTAGTCAGGAAAATGTCACGAATATGATGAAGAAAGTTGTATAAAAAAATGGATGAAAAATAAAAAAATTAGCAAGTATTGCAAACAATCGAACAGACTTTTGATCTTTGCCGACTGCCATGATCGTAGCGTCTCTTTCTTTTTGACTCGCTATCCTCCTCTGCGTTAGAAACTTTTATCGTCAATTAAACCAATAAATATAGTCCAAATTATACCGTGTTTGGTCTCATTTTAATCAGAAAAATGTCAAGAATTAATTGGTGCAAATTTGATAACGAAAACGTCAAAAATAAAAAAGTTTTATATTTGCATTGGTATAGTTTCACGGATATATTGAAATAGCGATTTGACAACGAAAAAGTCAAAAATAAAACAGTTTTACATTTGCATTGGTATTGTCTCACGGATACATTAAACTAATACCTGGGTCACGTCACATTTCCCGGCGAGCGAACCTCGGGCGTCTCGAGGGGTCTTCCCCCCAGTGGTGGGGATAACATTTTTGCTTATATCGGAAAGGACATTTTTGCTTATATAGAATGAACACTGTATGTAATACAAAAGTAGTGCTTCAATTTTTTTTTATTTTTGATTTTTTATAACTACAATTTGCGATCAAAATAGAAAAAATAGGCCAAAACCAGAATTTTGATTTTTCACTTTTACTACCCCTAACAACGAGATAAGGAGTTGAAACTTGGAGTGAGATATTTTTTTTAAGATATGCTATCGACTGACGTATGTATATTCGGTGTTTTATTTGGCCCAAGGGCACATTTGACTGCGTATGCGCCCCACGCTGAACTTTCCGTTCAGGCCGGGCAAGCCGCTTAATAGAATAATGTTTAGCCAGGTATTTGTTAAACTAATTCCTAGAAAAATAAATTTATTGCTTTGGTGTATTACGCATCTTAAAATGTATATCCTTCCCTTGATGATTATGATTTTTGTACTATTTTAATCATAGTAAAGTATATGCCAAATCAAAAAAACACAAGTCTAAAGCGTGGGGCGTATGCGCCCCACGCGGCCTGAACGGAAGATCTTGAAAAAATGGTCCGGCACGGAACGTGTTAATGTCGGAAACCGGGCACGGAACATGTTAAACTACACAAAAACGGAAAGATTTAGGTTTTGTAATTTGATAACATGTGATATTTTTCAAAGCAATCGCCGATATGAAGCTCTGGCTTCCGAATACAAGTGGCACAATATGTGCGTGTTTCTCGCCTTTTGCCGGGGGTTTTCCTGTCGGAACATACTGCACAATCTTTTTTAGTCCCTGAAAGCATTATATGCAGCTTATAATCTAACCTATTGTCTAGAAAACATGTGGACGGCTGAATCCTGAACAATCGGAATGTTTATTTCTTACTAAATATTGAAAATCAATTTATAATTTATTATATTTTTATTTATTTATAAATTTATTTGTATTTACTTATCATATACTTATGGTATATAACGCGTGAGACGTCCGAAATGGCTAGCATTCTGTTAATCTCGGTTTTTCTGGATTGCTCTTTCAAGGTGCAATCATGCCGCCACAGCGGCGACATCGACTTCTACGACGACTTCAAAATGCCGCCACAGTGGCGGCACCGACCGCAAAGGGTTAAATGAGCGTAGGCACGTGTCCGTGAGGCGCTAAAGCACTGTTCGCGGCATGATTTACAAAACACTGACTTTTGTAATAAATTTATTTCTTGCGGTAGGCAACAATAAATGATGTTGAATTTCGTACTCGAGAACGTTCTTCTGTTCTATTTTTTTTTTTTTTCTTTTCGTAACGATCTTCACGCGGTTCTATTTCCTTACTACCTAAGTCAAATTCAAGCGATAGCGTTACACCTCTAATTTATTTTTTCTAAGATCATCTGAAATAATAAAATACGACTACACATTTAATAGTTAATAGTTATTATATGTTTTGAGTAAAGATAAGAGTATAAATGTTCTTTTATAGAAGAAAACAATTCAGTATAATGTACTTTATTTAATTGTTCTTTTATAAAAGTGGGCGCTTGAGTGGTAATACCTTTTACTTTGCCCACTAGTATAATGTATGTGTGGTTTTCTCATATTTTTGTACTTTTGTATTTCGGTATTTTTGTATTTTGTGTCCAATACGTATGAGTGTGTGAAGAATTTAAAAATGTTTTGTAAAAGGGTAAGTAATGTAACTTAAACATCGTCTTCTGTAGAGAAGTAAACCAATAAACTGAACTGAATTAAAAGTTACCAAGTAACGGTATCGATTTTGATCGGTGCCATTATTTTTAAACAAAATATATGTATATTACAAAATTTTAATTTGTAAATGACTCGATGTATTCAACCATAATTATTCAATGTATTTTTATAAATGGATCATATACAGGGTGTTCGGCTATTGGTGGCTATAATTTCAGGCGGTGGTAGCTGGGGTGATACTGAACAACTTGTTCCTTTACCAAAATGTTGACTGAAGCTTAGTTTTTGAATTAGTAATGAAAAAAACTTCTCACAAATTTCTCAACATGAAGAAATTTCGTATTTCAAATTATTGTCTGGACATGATTGGGGAGAAGGATGAATAAAATATAAATTAGACGTAATTGAGCCTGAAAATAATAGTTTATTTACTCGAATAATACGACTTAGGGGAGAAAAATCTTGGGGCATGAAACACCCCCTGCTAAATATGTTTTTTCGTGATTAAACGGTGAAAGTGTGAGCGGGTTATGTGTATAATGTACATATATGTAGTTTGTGTGCGATTATTTGATTAATTATTTTGATTGATTCTTGTGAGATCAGAGCACCGAAGTATGATTTCTGTTGGCTCTAATGAGCAGAGTCTATCTATTCGAGGAGAGTAGTGTCTCACTCGAACAGTGTTGTGCATGGCGTGTGAGGAGCGCAATGTTTCCTTAATTATAATGCATGGTGTGAAAGGAGCGCAATATCTTCTCCCTAATACATAGTGAGTGATTTAGAAATCACGGTGACACGGTAGCGCGATATGCGTAAGTTATGTGACCACCTGCAGTCCGGCCTTATCGCCACCGGCGGGATGAGGCCCCGCCATAGACGAAACAAAAGATAAGAGCCGTGAGTACCATCGCCTCGGCGACGAGACACTGATTCATTATTAATTAAGCCTGTGGCCTGTACGAACGGACAAAAGAATTAAAAGAGACGTGCTTATTTCAAAAGTATTGTGTATTTATTTTAAAAATCATCCGATCATCCCGTAACATAACTGGCGCTGCGGACAGGATACTGCGAGGCTGTCGAATCCGGATTCTTCTCCAATTGTGTGACGAAAATCAATGACGAGGAAGCAGCTGGTGTTTCAACCCCATTGTCGCAGTGTCAATACGATCAGGCCACCTTTCGGCACTGGCATAGAAGAGTAAGTCTTTGAAATTTCCTATCTATACGTGTATATATCGTATCCCCAATTTTACCCTTATCCAATACGATTGATCACGTACATTAACTTTGACCGATCATAAATAAGTGTAAGTGAAATAATGGCTCAACTAACATTTGATGAATTTAAAATGAGATTATCTGTATGGCGCGACGCGATCCCAATGTACGAGGGAGGGACAAGACTTCTGTCTCATTTTATCCAAACGTGTGATAAATTCACTGAAAATCTTACAACAAACGATAATGCGATCAACGAGTCGTTGTATGCTCTTATCAAATCAAAACTACGCGGAGAGGCACTTGATTTGGTAGTTGTTAATAAACCCATAGACTGGCCCCAATGTAAGACACTCTTAATTAATAGATATAGCGACCCTAGCTCGGAAGAATTATTATTTAACCGACTCAGTACTTGTTATCAACAAACCAATCAAACGTATGAAGAATACGCCGACGAAGTCAAAATTCGTTTGAACAAGCTAAAAGAGCATGTACAACTAAATAATCAGGATAACAATATAATTGCTATGAAAAGTAACTTCTATGATAATATTGCGAAAAATGTATTTATTGATGGAATTAAACAGCCGTATCATTCACATCTGACGCATTTTGCATTGACTGACATCGAGGATTGCCTAAAAAAAATGTAGAAAATACGATAACCATGAGCAACAAGCAGCCTTTCTTACCTTCATCAGACAACGCGAAAATAAACCCAAAACGAATGCATTTAATACAGCAGGAATTTCAAGGAATACTAATCTATTTACACCATTTTTTTGCGCACAAAAATTCCCTATTTAAAGACGAACAATTTACAAAAAAAAGAATCCAATTATCTTCTTTAATTCCGGAGATATTCCCAAAAATATGATTTCCACCCCCAACTTCGAGGGCTATTTTCGCCCCTTCAATATGCACGATTACCGATAAAAAAAAATACGTGTCAAATATTTTTTTGAGAACTATATCTCACATAAGTTTCATCAAAATCGGCGTGTCGGAGTTGGATATGTTCCCTTATCAGTCGATCTTTTTAATATAAATTAAAGCAGACCAAAAAGTAAAATCTGATTTTGAACAACATCGATAGCTGAATCGGTTTTACACTTGAAATTCTTAGTCATTAATGCAGTTACATACAACGCATTATTCGTACGCTGCCACGCTGTCGCGTCGTTTTTGTAGGGTATACTATAAAGAGCTGCACCTAATTGCAACTGCATTTTTTTTATTTTATCGTGTATTCGTTTTGTCTTAATGTGGATATTAATTGAAAGCGGAAATCTGTTTATGACTCTACTTAATTAAAAAAAGAGAAAGGAAAATTACACTTTACATAGTTAGGCAGTTTCTAAAGCTGCTCTATATAACAAAGAGATAGAAATAGGTATTTGTTTTTTTTTCTTTTGAAACACTCTTTCAATAGAGTATATGCAAAGAATCTTAAGTTATACACATACTGATTTATAACCTACTATAACAACCAATTTTTTCAAGACTTAAGGGAGAGTTTGTCTCCAATTAATTGCTTGGTAATAGGGTACAGGAATGAAATTTAAAAAACACAGGATGCAATACCTCATTCATTTACCAAAGGTAAATAACAAGGTCCTTCGTTGACACACATTTCAGGTTATGGGGCTATTCATGATAGTCTACATTCGCGGCCGAACAAAACGTTTCAAAATTTCTACTTAATAAGGAAATTCCATTGATGTTTCATAATTGTTATAAATTACAAGAATTTTCTTATTATTTTATGAATGAATAGAATTTCTAGATTTTTTAAATAGTTATTACACATATTTTTCTGTGAGAATGAGTTATTAGTAGATAAACGTTCTTTGACTTTATTCTTTACCTTCATCACCAAGTTTACGTTTTTAATTGTATAACCACATTTGTTTGTTACGTGCAAGAATTTCATTCGTAAAGTTCTTATTGGCAATTTATGCCAAGTATCAGCTTTCCAAGTATCGGCTTTAATTACACCCGTTATACAATGTGAAAACCCGCTACATTTGTTTAGTTCTTTTCTAGCTTGTGTAGGCACAGATGTGCGAAATTCGCTTTCTCAGTAGTTATTATTTTTGGACCGACGATATTTACTGAGATATGTTATTATGCTATTTGGACTTTTTTATGTAGTTGTTAATCTGCTGAATGTCGATTCTATCATCTTTAGTTCAATGTTTCATTTTTTTATAATAATGTCTACCGCCAAGGCTCTCTTAATCGTGTTCGTCAATATTCTGTCAGTCTCATTCTTCAATATGCTATAACAGCAATTGTTATAATGAAATGTCCGCGAGTAGTGTATGAGCACTTTTGTATAGAATATCGTGCAAAATATTGGTAAGATTGAACGCAATCTGTGGGGAGAGAGAGTTTCTTGTATTTAAGATGTATTTCAAACATTGTTTCATTTATCATTGCATGAGTAGGAGTTGCAAGTGATGCAGCAGAGTTACTGCATGTGCATGGGCAGTGAACACAAAAATAGTACATTTCATTCGAAACTATAACTACAACTAAAGCTACAACTATAACTACAACTACGGCTACAACTACAGCAATAAAATTATAAATATAAAACGATAACGTTAGTTAACGATTATTGAAAAAGAATCAAAATTACATTTTGCTATACATATATTTTAATGTTATTAATGTATTGAAATATGTAGATACAATTCGACATTGTTATGAATGACAAATTTATTCATTATTATTACAAATTTAATGAATTTATTATTAACTAATAAATTATTAAATTTATTTTAAAATACAGAACTGCAGAGCACCAGAAAAGATAACGATTTCTTGCGTATAAAAGAATTGGAAATATTTTATAAAACTTGTTTGTACCAAGCCTGAAAAACATATTTTAAAATAAATTTGCTGCTAAACAAAGTCACACTTTTAAACTAATTAACTGTGGTTAATCTCAGAGAAAGTTACGTGATAATATTATGGTAAATGTTGACTTACAATGAAGTGGACATTTTGCTACATGTACAGAAGAAAGTTTAATTACTATTGAGAATACTAGGAAAGTTTGAATCAAAATCGAATATAAAGTCAGTGCCATCGTAGACTGTCACATACAAAAAACTTCAAAAGTATCTACGTTCAATAATGAGAAAATTCCCCAGCCGATAACTGTATAATCCTGGAATAATCACGTGTCTCCATGTCCATAGTTACACTGTTTGCTACCATTGCTAAGTGCACAATCAATGAGCAGATTGTTATTTCATGCGTACACTGGCGAATACGATAAATTCCTCTAGGTAAATGGTGGTTTAGAGGAAGAACGAATTATTACCATTCATAACAATATTTCAGAGCTATGTATCTCACATTAAGTCTAATTTACAGCAGACACTTTCGTTTTTAACCGACTTCGAGAAAGGAGGAGGTTACTCAAGTCGATCAGTATATTTTTTTTTTTTTCCTATGTATGTTCGCCAATTACTTAATTATGCTCATGGCATTTACGCAGACAAAAAAAAAGCCGGAAGAACTGTCTCACAGTATCCTATACAATTCTCCCCATTCCACTAAAAAGCGTGAAATAAAATAATTTTAAGAAAAAAAATACACCGACTTCGAAATGCACTAAAAAGTATAAAATAATTTCTATTTCATTCAATCATACAATTACGTAACAGATATGAATGAAACCTATTTACTCGTTAGGTAGTATATTAAATACATTTCAACCTTTTCGGAGGCGGCGCAAAATTAAAAGATTTTCTTGAACATTTCGTTCCCGAAGGGTAATTTCGCGAGCAAACGATGTAACGGTCGTCCTGGCCTTCGAGGGCCTATTTGGAGGGAAAAACCCCGATGTCGCAGGACTTTGGGTCTTCTCACGTACACGCGCGCTTGCACCCCACCCTCTCCTAGCGACCTGGCTAAGGCCGAAATAGAGGGTGGGACTTAGAATCCAACAACCACGCTGATTGGGAAATTAACAAATTTCGGAAAACCAATCAGCGTGGCTTTCCGGACGTCCGAACGTTTCGCGGACGACAGGACGACAACGGATCGTCGCTTAACTTCCATATCTCGAATCCGTATCATCGAGTTTTTTGGGTCTCAATCGTTCGGAGACCCACGTCGAAAAAAGGTGTTGCCACTTGAAATTTTGACAACATCGGCCACGAACACCGGCGAGCCTAAACGGTAAGAGGAACTTTACAAATTCCTCCAAGGAAGAAATCCGCGTAGGTGAACGCGCGCCGGCAACGATCACCGTCGAGTTGCCATCGTAACAGCGAGCCAAATGCCAAAAGAGGTACATATCCGTCATTGTATGCATTTTGAGTTTTGCAAGGGTAGTAACGCAACACTTGCTACCACAAATATTTGCGATCTTTATGCAAATGCATTAGACGTTCGTAAATGTCAAAGGTGGTTTTCCAAGTTGAAATCCAGTAATTTTAATCTTTTCGATTTGTACCAATTGGGAAGACCAACAATTTTAGACAATGACATGTTAAGGGCGGAAGTTGAAGCAAATCCATGTCAGACGATCGAGAAACTATCACACATTCTCTACCAACCTTGGTTGACCATTCAAGAACATTTGCAACAGATTGATAAAATAAGCAGGGCAGTTGTTTTGGTTCCGTATAGTCTGCTCAAATCGCTTACCGATCCGTCATATGCAACTTACTGCTTCAGCGGCACAATACAGAATCGTTTTTTAGTCGCTTGATCACTGAAGATAAAAAATGTGTGCTGTATGATAGTCTAGAATGCAAAAGGCAATGGCTCTCTCTGAATGAAACACCACGAAGTACAGCTAAGCCAGGTTTACACCCTAAGATAGCGTTTCTGTGTATTTGGTGGAGTACTTGCGGGGTCGTTCACTTTCAATTGCTGAGACCTGGACAAACTGTGAATACAGACCTTTATTGTGAACAATTTGATCGACTAAATCAATCTTTAATTGAATAGTACCCAGTGATTGTCAAGAGGAAAGGCGTTATTCTCTAACACGATAACGCAAGACCACACTACGCAAGACGAATAGGTCGTCTGTAAATAGGGATGAATGAATAGGGATGGGAGGTATTACCTCATCCACCATACTCGCCCGATATTGTACTATCGGATTACAATTTATTCTGATCGCTTCAACATTTTCTAAATGGTAAAAAATTTGGAAATTTCGATGATATCCAAAATAATATTTTAAGATATTTTTCTCAAAAATCAGTTGACTTTTATAGATCCAGCATTGAACATTTGCACACTTAAGGGCAAGAGATTGTTGCGGACGAGGGTGATTACATTATTAAATAAAAAAAAAAGACTTGTTAAAAATTTGTGTGTTTGAGTTTCATATACAAAAACGACATTACTTTCCGGTCCCCCTAATATCATTCTAATAGATACATGCCAATTGATAAATGAATAGTAACTTGCGAGTATAATACAAAGATTTCTTTTTCGATACCTTTTTAAATCTATACCCTGTATTTTTAGCGTCTCCAAATTGCAAACGTAGATCATATACATATATAGCAGAACCTCCGCTCCATAACAGCTATTTATTATATATTGCCGGTTCGAACGAATTCTATTTCACACGAACTTTAAGACATACCAGAGGCACCTTTCTTCAATGCATCGT